TGTGATAGTTTCAGGTGAACAATGAAGGGACTCAGTCATACGTATACATGTATCCATTCTCTCTCAAACTGCCCTCCCATCCAAGCTGCCACATAACACTGAGCAGAGTTCCCTGGGTTATACAGTAGGTCCTTGTTGTTTACCAGTTTTAAATATAACAGTGTGTACTTGTCCGTTCCACACTCCCTAACTATCCCACCCCACCCCCATCCTTCTCCCTGGCAACCATAAGTTCTTTCTCTAAGTCTGTTTCACATTCAGCTTTTATCTGCCTGTAAATGGTTAAAAGTGTCTCATCTTCTCTGTAGGGCATCAAAACAATGTAGAAATAAGTAGTCATGTCCACTATCCTTGTATTGATGGCTCTTTTTACTTCACATCTTTCAAATGGATTCACCTTGATGCATGGCAGAGACTACCACAGTGTGGTAAAGCAGTTCTCCTCCAATTAAAAAAAATGTGTGGATTGTTTAATCTGCAAAGATATCTCCTTCCACTCAGACATTTTCCCAGGGAACCACCTGTGAAATCTCCAGCAACTGAGATGGCAACTTGTGTCAGAAACTATATGTGCTCCACTTACCATTTAGGAGGGCATCATTCTTGCCTTTCTATGATGATGCCCTATTCTTATCTTTCCACTGTTTCTCAGACCATCTCCTGTGCACTTGCATCAGTTCATGTTTACTAACAAGCAGATACCAAGATGGAATTAGACATGTAAGAGATTTATTGGGAGAAGGAACTGGAGAAGATGGGGAGAGGCTTCAAGCCACATGTAGGTCTGACATCTGTGAAATGTGAGAGAGAAAGTGGATGACCAAGAGCAGTCAAGTTTTGGATGGATATGCAATTTCAAAAAAGGTGTATCCAGGCTAATGAGGAGTCCTCAGACAGCACCACATATTGGAGAATCCCCACATCTTGCCAGATTGGGCCTGCTTGAGTGCCTCTGCCATGCTCAAGCATTGCCTGGGAGTGGCCTCAGTGTGAAAATGGTCCAGAGAGGCCGCAGTGGGAGGAGAGGCACTAATCAATTATTCTCCCAATAGCAGTAAAGTTGAACAGTCATTTTCATTGCTTCCTTGGGGAGTCTGCACTGCAAAGCAAACTGTAGCGCTCATCAAGGAGGTAGTTGATGGGTCAGGAAACAGAGCTTGAGGAGACAGCAGCTTTTTGAAGTCATGTATGTAGAAGACATAATAGAGAAGGGGCTGAAGCTTGGCAGGGTCGAGGACTGGTGGTATCCTGTCTTACCCCAGCAGAGTTGGAGGCAGGCCATGAGCTGCATCAGATTTGAGTGGTAGTTCATGAGCCATCAAAGGTGCTGTGAGGGCCTCATACCATCAAAGTCTGGGTGTCACCAATGGAGTTGTTACTTTTAAACAGTGACAGAGAAACAGAATCAGAAAGGCAGAATGGGAGAAGTAATTTAAAGTTCATTGGTTGGAATAACATATACCCGAATCTGCATTGCAGTGTCCTTACCAGTAAAATAATAGTGTTGATCTCAGAGGAATGTGATGATGAGGATCAAGTAAGAAAATCTGCATAAAGCTCTTCGCACCAAACAAGACACATCACACTCATTAGACTTCCACTGTAAAAAATATTCAACAGCTAATCAAAGACCAGAATCACAAAAGTTAAAGAAACAGGGAAGTGATAAGGATAAGCAGAGTGGATAGAATAATTCATTGATCATATTCTGTTGCTAGCAGGTTTTTTTCCTGAAAATGGACTGTTCAGTATCTTTTGGTTCAAAAGAGTTCTTCAAACCCAGTAATTTAATTTATAGGGACATAGCAGTGAACAAGCTGATTAAAATCTCTGTGCTAATGAGCTTACATTCCAGTGGGAGCAGGCTGTGTGTTCCCATGTTTCTGCTGAAATCCTCTCTGTCTGCATTAAAGGAGCTCTCCCAGAAAACTAAGAGCTCAGCTGGGGAAGGGGGTGCTGTAGATGAGTTTCAAGAAGGGTTGCTGCCTTTCAGTTGCCAAGTCATGTCCCGACTATTTCAGACCCCATGAACTGCAAGCATACCAAGCTTCCCTATCCTCCATTATCCCCCGAAGTTTGCTCAAACTCCTGTCCATTGAGTCAGTGATGCCATCCAACCATCTCATCCTCTGTCACCCCCTTCTTCTCCTTTCCTCAGTCTTTTCCAGCATCAGAGTCCTTTCCAGTGAGTTGGCTCTTCGAATCGGTGGCTAAAGTATTGGAGCTTCAGTTTCTGCATCAGTCCTTCCAATGAATATTCAGGTTGATTTCCTTTAGAATTGACTGGTTTGATCTCCTTGCTGTCCAAGGGACTCTGAAGAGTCTTCTCCATCACTCTAATTAGGAAACATCAATTCTTTGGCACTCAGCCTTCTTTCTGGTCCAACTCTTACATCCCTACATGACTACTGGAAAAACCGTAGCATTGGCTCTATATGAGTCTTTGTCCCTAATGGCTCAGATGGCCAAAAAAAAAAAAAAAAAGTCTGCAATGCAGGAAACCCAGGTTTTCTCCTTGAGTCAGAAAGATGCCCTGGAGAAGGGAATGGCAACCCACTCCAGTATTCTTGCTTGGAGAATTCCATGGACAGAGGATCCTGGTGGGTTACAGTCCATGGGGTTAAAAAGAGTCAGACTTCAAGAGTAGGGGAGAAAAGAATTCTCTTGCAACCCCCACTGGTTTCTTTATGAGAATTTTCTTCCTTCTCAGTACATAGTATAGTGGTTAAGTGCGGGAATGCGACCCATGCTTACATTCTGCCTTCACTCAGCATTGAGTAGTTGAATGTCCTGGGTATGTTACTGACATTTATGCCTAAATGTCATTTGCCTCTCCAAATATGTTCTCCAGTCTTCTCCACCCAGCTCTGTATTTATGAGGCCAGCCTTTAGAGACTGCATCACTAAGTTCCCTTATCCTGTGGTTTCTAGTTGAGGCCGCCAATGTGATATAGTTCAGGAGATAAAAAAGAGGTAAGACAGGTCAGGGTATTGATCATCCCAGCCAGCTACCCATCAGGTCACAGCTTGGCAGTGGCTGTGTCCTTCTATCAGAAGCTGTTGGCTGTTCTTCCAGTGTTCCAGTCTGAGACAGTAAGGACTTTCTGATGGGCTTAGCCTTTCACCATTGCTGGTTGGTTCCCCCTAACCTTACCAACAACTGTGTAAATAGTCATTTCATTAAACCCTCTTTAGTTTCCTCTTTTTGAGGTGGTGTCTATTCCCTGCTAGGCTGGATCTCAACAGGTATAATTGTTTTTCATTTCTAAATCTTTTCTCTCACTTATAAAACAGAGATAATTCGAGCATTTATGTCATAGAGTCTTAGTGATGGTTAAATGAGGTAATGTAGATAAAATTCTTAGCATGGTGCCTACAGCATAGTAAATGTTCAATGAATGTTAGCTGTCACTCTTGGTACTGTTATCATTATGACTATAATTTGTATTCAGGTCCTGGACATTGGGACTGAGATAAGAATTCTGAGAACTGGGCTTTCATCCAAAACCTGCACTCAAGTCAGGATACTTGGCAACATGTAAGTACAACCAAAGATTGGGTCCCTTTAGACCATTGCATGATAAATCCACTTTGCCAGCATACAACTCACAGCAGGATAGTTCTGATCATCATTATTTCTGAGTGCATTTAAAGGCCAAATATTAGTGCCATTACAATTTACATTTCCCTTGATGCAAATTAAACTAATTTAGAGAAGGAATTCTTAATCAGTAGCATGAGGTAGAGGAAAAAACCTCAAAGCACCTCAAGGCATTACTGCAACTTAGAAAAGCAAGGCTTATCTCATCCTAAATGCTTTATAATTCCTGAATATATATTACAATGAAAAGAAAACAATACCTAAAAGAAATGCTGTAATTTATCCATGTTATCTGTGTAATCATTCTAATGGCCTCATTATAGCTTGGATCAGTTAGCATATTTTGTCATAGAGGAGATAATAGTCCTAACAAGTTTGGGTTGTAGATTTATCTCCATGTAGTCCTTATAGTCTGATATCCCAATTTGTAACTGCATGGTCGTGATCACAAGAAGGATGGAGAGGCAGTGGGGGAGGGTTTGGTACCTATTTAATCTGCACAAGTGGAAGAAAACTCCAAGTCCGTGTTTTTCTGGTGAAAAGTGAAAGTGAAGTCGCTCAGTCCTGTCCAACTCTTTGCAACCCCATGGATTGTAGTCTACCAGGCTCTTTCGTCCATGGGATTTTCCAGGCAAGAATACTGGAGTGGGTTGCCATTTCCTTCTCCAGGATATCGTCCCAACCCAGGGATTGAACCCGGGTCTTCTGCACTGTAGTCAGATGCTTTACCATCTGAGCCACCAGGGAAGTTTTTCTGGTATTGAGTAAATAATATTATTTTTCTGTGCAACAGACTAATTTTTGGCATGTGAATAGAATAAATTGCCGTGTAAAGAAAGAGCAATGCAACTGATATACAAGTATTAGTAATGCACCATTAGTGTCTGTGTTAGTTTCCTTGAGCTGCCATAAGAAATTACCACAAACTGATTGGCTTGAAATGGAAATTTATTCTCTCACAGTTTTGGAGGCTAGAAATCCAAATCAGCAGGGCTGTGCTCTCCCTGAAGGCTCTCGGGGAGGATCCTTCCTTACCTCTTTCTAGTTTCAGACAGTTACTGACAATCTTTGGCTTTCCTTGGCTTGTGTGAGCGTTAACTCCAATATCTCTCTCCATCTTCACGTGGCCATCTTCTCTCTGTTCCTGTGTCCAGATTTCATTCTTTTTGTAAGAATACCAGTCATATTGGATGTAGGGCCCACTCTAACCCAGTATGACCTCACTTCACATGATTATATCTGCAAAGACCCTATTTCCAAATAAGGTCACATTCGCAAGTTTTCAGGGGTATATGAGTTTTGGAGGGACATTATTCAATCTGTTGTAACTACTCAAGAATTTAGTTCATCTCTTTGTGGCTCTTTTGTGCTCTTCTGTATTTTTTTTCTTCTTAAATATTTGCTTCACATCTTTTTAGCCATTTTTCTTTCTTTTTAAAAATAGTTGATTGGATCATCAAGGGGAGAAGGATTTGAGTTACATCATTTTGGTGATTACAAAGCAGACAGACTGTGGGGTAAGTGGTTTGTCTTACCCCTCTTTACTCCTCTCCGTAGGATATATACTCATATTTTCACTATCCCTTTGCTACATGGAAGATTATGGGTTGATGAGGGAAGATTTCGGTGAATAATGAGCCATCAACGGGCTTCTCCATATGCTGTTTTATAGTTCATAGACCCTAATAAGATGTTCTGCCAGGTAACTCCCAGTCTCTGTTGCCCACTCCACAAGTTCTTCCTTCCCTGTGTTCTTTTTCCTGAAGCTACCTGCCTCCAACCAGGGACACTCCTGGTAAAAAGATTTCCTTTTGGCCCCTCTTAATATATCACTTAAAATAATCCCACAGTTCTCTTCCACTTCCCAGCAAATGTGAGTTCACAGTAACTAAACCTGTAGAACTGGTGGATTATTTGGGCAGAAAGGAAGTGTAGACACAGAGACCCTTCTGCCTTCCCAAGTCTTCTCTGCTCAGGCTGCTCCTCACCCTTCCTCAAGTAGGAAGAGTTGCTAAACCGGTTGTTCAGAGTCTTGAAATACTGATGGGCAGTCTGATGATCAGGGTTACTGTGTTCATGCTCATGCACTCATGGGCTTTCTGCTGCAATCCTCCATCATGCTGCTGGTGTGGTGGGAACCCGAATCTGCCTTGTTTATCCCCACAAAGTATGCCTGCACTTGGTTATTGCTTTGGTTTCTGGCCCATGACTGGCCAGAAATGGTAAGAGCCTCATGTAGGTTGGAAGTAGGGGTAAAAGGTGGCTCCACTTTGTAGTTCAGAGTATGGGCACACACAGCCCACCCTAGTTTTTTGCCTTCATTGTGCACTGGTGGTAATTGGGCAGGACTAAGCCAGTAAAATCAAAGAAACAACCCCAGCACTTTGCATTTTGCTTCCCTTTGTGTGTTGGGGGATTAGGGGAAGGGCACAGCAGGATATTTGAATAGGGGTGGTTGTCAGAGCAGAACATGTATATTTTGGATCCCTTAGCCAAATATGTCAAAGTCTTCTCTGCTCAGGCTGCTCCTCACCCTTCCTCAAGTAGGAAGAGTTGCTAAACCGGTTGTTCAGAGTCTTGAAATACTGATGGGCAGTCTGATGATCAGGGTTACTGTGTTCATGCTCATGCACTCATGGGCTTTCTGCTGCAATCCTCCATCATGCTGCTGGTGTGGTGGGAACCCAAATCTGCCTTGTTTATCCCCACAAAGTATGCCTGCACTTGGTCATTGCTTTGGTTTCTGGCCCATGACTGGCCAGAAATGGTAAGAGCCTCATGTAGGTTGGGAGTAGGGGTAAGAGGTGGCTCCACTTTGTAGTTCAGAGTATGGGCACACACAGCCCACCCTAGTTTTTTACCTTCATTGTGCACTGGTGGTAATTGGGCAGGACTAAGCCAGTAAAATCAAAGAAACAACCCCAGCACTTTGCACTTTGCTTCCCTTTGTGTATTGGGGGATTAGGGGAAGGGCACAGCAGGATATTTGAATAGGGGTGGTTGTCAGAGCAGAACATGTATATTTTGGATCCCTTAGCCAAATATGTCAACATCCCAGCAACACTTCTAACAAGTATGTCACAAGCAATGTCTGCAATAAGAGAACTGGTTTTATTGGCTGGTTTAACTTATTCAGGCCATTGATTAGTTCAAGTAATTGAAAATTGGTCCCACTGTGGCAGCCCATGGTATGTTGTAGGTAGCCCATTTCATAGATGAAACTATGTTACATTGTTGTAAGAAGTATGAAGCATGTTCACACTGTTCATAGGGTTCTCAAGGTAAGAATACTGAAGTGGTTTACCATTCTCTTCTCCAGTGGACCACATTTTGTCAGAACTCTTCACCATGTCCTGTCTGTCTTGGGTGGCCCTACATGGCATGGCTCATAGTTTCATTGGGTTAGATAAGGCTGTGGTCCATCTGATCGGATTGGTTAGTTTTCTGTGATTGTGGTTTTCATTCTGTCTGCCCTCTGATGGAGAAGGATAAGAGGCTTATGGAAGTTTCCTGATGGGAGAGGAGGCCTTACAAATAGCTGAGAAAAGAAAAGACACGAAAGGCAATGGAGAAATGGAAAGATATACCCAGTTGAATGCAGAATTCCAAAGAATAGCAAGGAGGAATAAGAAAGCCTTCCTCAGTGATCAATGCAAAGAAATAGAGGAAAACAATAGAATAGGAGAGACTAGAGATCTCTTCAAGAAAATTATAGATACCAAGGGAACATTTCATGCAAAGATGGGCACAATAAAGGACAGAAATGGTATGAACCTAACAGAAGCACAAGATATTAAGAAGAGGTGGCAAGAATACACAGAAGAACTATACAAAAAAGATCTTCATGACCCAGATAACCATGATGGTGTGATCACTCGTCTAGAGCCAGACATCCTGGAATGAAAAGACAAGTGGACCTTAGGAAGCATCACTATGAATAAAGCTAGTGGAGGTGATGGAATTCCAGTTGAGCTGTTTCAAATCCTGAAAGATGATGCTGTGAAAGTGCTGCACTCAATATGCCAGCAAATTTGGAAAACTCAGCAGTGGCCACAGGACTGGAAAAGGTCAGTTTTC